AACTACGACACATGGTGATTCAATAAAATCTTGGGAAGCAACATCATTAAATTGGTAAGCTCCTCCAACCAATTTTTCTCTTTTATCTATGCTGATTTTATTCTTGAAAAGAACATCAAGCCGTAATTCCATTAATACGCTTTGATTTCTCAACCAAGAATCCCAAACGATGCATGCAAGTATAAATATCCTGGTTGATCCTCAAATAAACAAGCATCTTTTGCAAACACAAATCTCTACTAAAAGGTCCTCTTCAAACACACCTTAGCCAAAACACTCCAATGGCACACCACAGACTCAACCTAAATCTCTCCTTAGGCCCCCCAAATGCTCCTGATAAGTTCATCAGTGACCTGGAATCATGGATAATCTACACCACTGACAAGGATTCTCTTGACCAAGAGAGACAGAGAGTCCTAAAGTGGAAGTATTGGAGACTCGCTCCGATCAACCAACTTCTTCTTATGGCACCCCTCATCCCAATAGAAGAAGAATTTGCTCTCAAATGGTTGGGAGCAAGCTCCATAGAAGAAGCCCTTTCCCAGGAGTTCATCGAGAAGGTCTACAACAAAAAATTAGACCAACTCAAAAGAACTCGAAGAAAAAGGAAACTGGATGAAGGAGAATCATCTAGGAGACAGAACTAATCTAGGTGTTAGCTGCTGCCAAAAAAGGGGGAAAATAGAATCTAGCTCATCTTTGTTTTATGTATTCAGAATCTAGTTTTTGGCATCATCAAAAAGGGGGAAATTGTTAGGCCCCTCAGACTTTGATGAAATATAGTTTTGATGATGCAATCCTCCCTTGATGTTTAGATTTTCTATTCAATATTAAATGATCATTGTGTGAACTGAAGTATGGTCCAAAAAGGAAGGTGACAAAATTAGGAATGTATAAATTGTGTCACAAAATAAATATACTGAAAATATAAAATGCAATAAGGTAAATCCCTACCTTTCAAGGATATTCAAATCCAATCAGTATATTTATTTGTGTTACAATTTTATTATTGTCACTAGTAAAATTGTGACTAATCTTACATGTACATCTTATGTACAAAATTAATTTTACTGGAAATATAAAATGCAATAAGGTAAATCCTTCTTTACCTTAAAAAGGATATTTAAAATCCTACCAGTACAAATTAATTTTGTACACAAGGACCAAAGTCACAAATTTTACTTGGTAAGCTGTATAATCACGAGACACTCCAGAGTTGCCTGTGAAGACAAAATCCCACTAGATTATGAATAGTGCGCAAAAGGCCTAAGGAATGGGTTTACATATCCTGCAAAGCAAGTTGCTCCAATTGCGTCTGAAGATAAGCTGCTCCAACACAAGAAGACGAAAGTACAAGAAGCCTCAACGACATAGATTAAATCCTCTCAACCAACGGAGGAGATTAATCAACCAGAGATGCCTATAAATTCGGGCATAAGCATGAGAAGAAAAACAAGCTCCTGAGTTCACTAAGCAGAGAAATCATACTACACAAAGAAGATATCTAGCAAAAAGAGAAAGTGTTCATTACATTCTGCTCTCTGCTTAGACTCATGCTTCACTAAACCTTCTAGAACCGAAATCCTCATTGATACACTCAGAAAGTTTAGTTTTTAGTTGGAGGCTAGAAGTTTGTTTCATATTAAAACTGTTGTAAACACTTCTAAGGATAGCGTCGTCTAAGTCCTTAAGTGTGGTAGAATAGGATAGAGTACCTTTTGATCCCCACTGGATCAATCGAGAAAAACCTAAAGGATTGAGTAACTTGGAGTGGTGTGTACTCTCAGTGAAACACCTTGAAGTCTGAGCAAGTTGGTGATAACAGCCAGACGGTCACTAATTGTATTGGGCTGAATACTTTAGTGGAAATCCATCTGAAAGAGGATGGGACTGGATGTAGGAGGATTACACCACCTCTGAACCAGGATACATCTCGTGTCAATCTTATTTACTCTGATCCAAGATCATCAGAGGACCTCACGCAAGAGTTTTTGACTCGAGATCATCAGAGGACCTCACTCAAGGATCTCTGACTCAAGATCATCAGAGTACCTCACTCAAGGGTCTCTGATTCAAGATCATCAGAGGACCTCATACAAGGATCTCTGACTCTAGATCATCAGAGTACCTCACTCAAGGGTCTCTGATTCAAGATCATCAGAGGACCTCATACAAGGGTCTCTGACTCTAGATCATCAGAGGACCTCACTCAAGGGTCTCTGATTCAAGATCATCAGAGGACCTCACTGAAGGGAGTCTGACTCAAGGTCATCAGAGGATCTCACTGAAAGATCTTCAAAGCCGAGCCTCTAGTCTACTATACACTCCAGTCACTAAAAGATAAGTTGTCCTACATACAAATACCTCTTCCCTCTTATCCTCTCATAAGAAAGTTACCTTTCACAGTCAAAAAGAGGTCATAACTTCCGCTGCGATCCTAAATCTCTCAAAAGATTTTAGATCATCATACCTATGAGGGAAACTCTTTAAAAATTGAAAGATCTTTAAAAGTCTATTCACCCCCCCCCCTCTAGACTTTTACCTCTATCAGGGACCATCAATAGTCCCTTTCTTTTGAGAGATAGGAATATTCTAACAAAGACTTAATGTATTCAGGAACTTCAGGGCTGTTCTTAGGAACAAGGAACTCAGTAGGTCACAATTTAGGAACAATCATTTAAACCTATGCAAAGAGTAGACATGATGTACAACTAAGCTAAACCGTCTCGGCACATTTGTGCTTTGACGTATACTTGAAGTACGCGGAGGACTAAAGCTAATTTTTCAATAGCCTCCAAGTTCATTAATTTAGTTTAGTTTTCCTTGTCATGTTGGCACGAGAACGCCATTTCTTTCGAAAGATACCCAAGTCTCATCTTACGCTTTTTGACCGGGGCTCCCATTCCCTTTTTCGCAAAGTAAGAGGTCTAGCTATATTAATTTTTCACCTTTCGGATTCTCACTAGACATTACCCCATTCTAATCTCGGCCTCACCAAGGAAAAATAGCAATTTAAATCCATTAATTTCAAAGTGAATCCATGCCTACAATGCAATCCTCGAAAGTATCAAATTCCTAAAAGATGACTGCTCTTACCCCATTTGGGGCATAGGAACAGTGCCAAAAATGGCTCCTACACAAATTCCTTAAACTTAACAAATTAATCCCTTGGTTCCCTAAACATCAAGACTAAGTTAGAAATATTCACGGGTAAGGAAACAGGCCATTTGGCTATGGAGCTCAATTAATCGGGTAACAATAAACGGTCAGGCTCAAAATGGTTTCTCCTAAAGGATTTTTTTCAGGTGGGGTGGGTGATTAATGGAAAATTCATGGGTGACTAATGCCTTCATCCTCTCAACAACTAGATTATAGTGCAAGCAATTTAAGCCTAAACACTTCAAGAATGTTCTAAAAGCATAGTCAAAACGCTAGCCAGCTCACAAAGACACAGTTTAAAGAAAAATTTTCAAAAATTTTGACATGAATTTTCTATGAATATACAACTAACACCTGCGCATGCTAACTCTAATTAATCACATGTAACAACTACTGCCCGAATGCCCAATTCACTCCCCCTCACTTAAACTTTGGCATCGTCCTCGATGACCAAAAATGCACTATGCACAAGGGGGTAAAGAGGATAGGGTCACGCGTGCTCAATCTCAACTCAAGTCAACATTTACAAAACAGGCAAAAATAAGAGTCGCAGAAACTTCCCTAAGGTGCTGGTCGGTGAAGAACTAAACGGAGTCAATGATCCTCGACACATCATCCCTACAACAAGACCCTGAGCTGCAACAAAAACACAAAGCAAAACAACCAAACAACAAACAAAGCAAAAGCAAAAACAAAAGCAGAATTAAGCTCGGGTTGCCTCCCGAGAAGCGCTATTTTTAATGTCGTTTGCCCGACGATACCTCGTAAGCTCTCAAATAGAAAAGACTGTAATGGTGCACTAGTAATCAACGTTTCCAGCTTCCCCTCAACAAATGCCATTAGGTGGCGTAGATTCTTAAATTCTCGAATATGCGTAGGCAGCACATGGTCTTCATAACCCTTATTAGCACAGAAGTGAAGGATGAAACTCTCATCCTCTTCAGGTGGATAGGAAACATGTGACACTGCTCCCGAGCGTCCTTGAAAATTTGATTTAAAATTCAAAGTTTATGTATTGGATTTCTGGTTCCCAAACATTTGTAAAACGATTAATGTTTTACGTAATTAATGATCGATTAGTGTACTGTTCGAACTCGTATATTAGTGTCGGGCATGCAAATACCACTTGGGTCTTATTAATAAATAAAAGAGCCCAACATTTTCCAAATAGTGATACTTAATCTTGCAAGACAATCCGAGTAAGGTCGGACGGCCCAAACGTTATTTTGAGCCCAACCTGCTAAAATAGCAAGTATTCGAGAATGGCGTCCTAGACCCACTCGGGAGTGACCCACACGGCTAGTAGCCCAATAATATGTATGACAAATGTCAAATAAGTGATAGGATGATTAAAGAAGAATACAAATGCCTATAACCCCACCTTTGGTCTTATTGAGCTAAATAATGGGAGTAGGATTTTCCTTCTATAATATCTATCAAGTAAATTATTGGGATGAGCCTACACATATTGGAGATCAATAATGTGATTTGAGAAGTTGACTTGTTCTAAATAAATTAGGATGATTACAAAAAGACATCTTTTGACAAAGATAAAACAATAGGACCCATTTTCCCCATTTTTGGAAGTATTGGTAGATAATTTGGATCCCAAAATGATTGGGATCAATTGGGAACCACTCCACATGATATTAGTACCTGCAAGACAAATACAAATGGGTTAGGAGACTTACCTTGGCCGGCCATTATGGAGAAGAGCTGCACATGACTTGATAAGAATCAAAGTTTGGGGCCACCACTCTTATTTTCGCACAAATTGGTGTGCTGTTTGTCTCCTCTCATTATAGGAGCTATCCTCAACCAAATAACGTGTATGAGGTGTCCTTGGATAGCTTTTGAAGTCTATTTTTATAATTGAGTGGTCTCAGTTCGAGAGGAGAGAGTAATCACCCAAAAATCGATCTGGAACAAGCAGTGGTCTGTGAACTCGAGCTGTGAGAGTGCTGAGACTGTTTGGTTGATATCTCGAGTTTTACCAATCCAATTAAGGCGTATGAGATACCAAAAGAAAGCTCTCAAGACGAGGAATCCGTGAAGGTCTGGTTTGCATCAATCGGAGTAGAGGAAGGCTTCCAAATCGTCCGAGCAGAACGCGACCTCGCAGGGACGGATTTACTCTTCTAAGTGAGTTGTTAATCCCAAAACCTTTCCATTCATTTTCCAAATGATATGAACGATTGGTGGGACTATTATACACTACTCCAAGTGTATAAAACATCCCTATTAAGTTATTTTATTGATGTAAAGGTTAGATACTAACCTAGATGCAATATTGGAAAACTAGGAATCGAGTTAGCCGGAAAACACCCGTTCTAGGGGCTGTTTTCGTATCAACGATTAGGGGTTGAAATAGCAACTTGAGGAGGCTGTTTAGCACCCATTTCTAAGCAAGGAATCAGTTCTCAAGCTTCCTTGGCCGAGGCTTTAGCCATTGGATCGAGAAGGAAGGTTTTAAAGCTCATTTGAGGTGAGGATCGACATCTAATTGCTTACAACTTGTAGGTTAAGCATGAGATTACCTAAATGCCTAAATCATGTTTTCCATGGATTATGATGATAAATTATTGATGAAATATTGATCTATTTTGCAAAGAATGAAATGGGAAGTGATTTGGTAAAGTATTGATAAAAATGGAGTTAAATGAACTATTGTGTGAAATAGGCATTTACTCATATGTGAATTGTGTAGATACATAAATGATTATTTATGTATTACATTGAATGATTAAGTTGCTGCTACATATCTCTAAATATGTAGGGTTTTACAAATGGAATATATGATGGATAAGAATAATCTTAATAGTATTGAAATACTAGTTAATGATTGTTGTAATTGTTAAGGGAATTGAATCTAAGGATTTGATTATAATTGATGTACTTGATTGTGATGCAAGTGACAAATTTGATGTAATGTGATGCTAAGACCAAGGTTGTGCAGTCCGTAGGGATGTCCCAAAATAGATTATTGATATTACAATTCTAGGCATAGTGAGTGCTTAGGAATTGGGGTCTATGCCAATGTAAGGAGATGTACTTGAGCCCGTGCTCATAGAATTGCATTGGGTAGACATGATGAGGTGATTGTTGTGCATGGTGATGTAGTTGAGTTGGACTCAAGAAATGCACGGTGGAGTAGTTAACTTGTGTTAAATAAGATGCATGGTGATGTAGTCGAGTTGGACTCGAGAATGCAAACATATGTGTTAGGGTTGAACCCTATGTATTGTTGTGACTAGGGGTCACGGGGTTTTGGGCTGTGTTTGATAAACAAACCTTGGGCCTACGGGCCGACTACTTGACTTTATATATAAAGTAAGTATATTTTTTAAAAGGGGTAACTTGGGGTTACGGCCTAGATTATATTATCACCCTATTTGAGGGTCTTGTGTTTGAAATACTTGTTGTATATCTATTAGATGCCATCCACACCAGCACTTTATACCCCTATAGAGTGCTGACCCCTTCGGGGGCGTCCCACTACCATTTTTCAGGTTGAGGCTAGAGCTTACTTCCTGTGCTCGTTGCTCGGGTGATCATCTAGGAGGGAAGACTTGGTTCGTGCTTCCTCCATTCGGTTTTTAAACATTAATAAACATGCTCATGGATATTTTACTATAGAGCCTGCGTGCTCATGAATAGCCATGTGTGGCCCTTTTGTTTTAAACAATGTTTTCCGCTGCGTTATGAATTACTTATTATGTTTGTTTATGGATGTTTATGTGTGAATGATATTCAAGACACCTTGTATAATATGAATGTGTTGGACTGCGGTTGACTATTCGTATTGTACGGCGGGTTGTTGACGTGTCCGGATAGGTCCGGGGCGTGACAATTAAGTTGGTATCAGAGCCTTAGTCCATAAACTTCATAATGAAGTCTCAAAATTCTCTTTTTGAAAAGATTTTGAAAACCATGAGCATAGAAGTTTTGTACTTGGAGAGCTTTTGGTACTTGGGTTGCAAGGTCTCTAATTGTTAAGATGGTACCCTTAGCAATTGGTATGGCGGTGACTCGAGCCAAAATGTGTCTTAAGTACCTATCCGTCAATTGACATTTGATACGAGTCTAACGACTCTTTCCAAATTTCTTTCAGAAATGGACCGTGGTGGCAGGATTACTAGGAGAAACCCGACGGGCCGTGTACCAGTGGAGACTGGACAGGGCAGTCGAAGGACCTCTAGGGCATCTAGGGGAGCTGGCCGTGGAGGCCGATCACAGACCGTGAGTGACGGTCATGTTGACACAGAAAGTGAAACCTACTGGTCCTATGAAGACTCGACTTACCAACCGGGGACCGAGCCGGTTGAGACCCCTTACGAAGGGGATGACGATGATGTAAGTGATGAAGAGGGGGAGAATGACTCCCTAGCAAGAATCGAGGCGCTGCTCCAACAATACCAGCGGGAGCGCGAGGAAAGGAGGGAACGCCGGAGGCGCCGGGGAGGGCGAACTTCGGGTGGGGCTTCAAGAGGAAGGAGCCATGGCGATTCTCGGGCCCACATTGAACCACATGGGGGCCGGGGTGATGGAGGTCCAATCATAAGGATCTCCAAGTACATCAAAGAGGCACGAGATTTGGGGTGCAAACCCTTCAACGGAGCAGGCGACATCTCGGTCGCCGCGGAATGGATCAAGAGGTTGAACGAGGCAGCCCTTGATATGCAACTCACCCCCGAATTTAAACTAAGGGTGGCGGTGAGATTGCTTGAAGGGATGGCATCCACATGGTGGGATGGAGCCAAGGGAAAGTATGGCAATACCGTGACTTGGGAGAATTTCCGACAGGAGTTCTTTGCCCAATATTATTCTGATTTTGAGGTGAACGCTAAAAGGAGAGAGTATACCCTCCTGACCCAAGGTGGCAAAATGACGGTGAGGCAACTTGAACACAAATTCAGGGAGCTCGCGGAGTTCATACCGGAGTATGTGTGTGACGAGAACCGGATGGTAAATCACTTCTGGGATGCCTTAGACCTGGAGGTGCGTGAGAGGGCAACTCAGTTGCCTAACATGACCTTTAGCCAAGTGGTCGAGCAAGGGTTGAAAGGAGAGAAAGAATGGGAAGAGAGAAAGTTGAAAAACGCCGAAGAGGCGAAGAAGAGAAAGTGGGAGAACCATGGACCTCAAGGTCCTAACAAAAAGGGGAACCATGGGGGAGGGGGATCTTTTCGGACACCCCCACTGCCATCTAGGGGAAGTCAAGGCCCGGGCGGGCAATCACAAGCCTCGGGGGTGACTCGTTGCAAGAATTGCAAGAGAAACCACCTGGGGAAATGTCGTGACCCTCCTAGATGCTACCAATGCGGAAACACCGGGCACTTGAAGATGAATTGCCCACAATTGGGTGGGGCAAGGTCATCGGGACCAAGTAGTGGTAATACCGGGACACGGAATCAAGCCGGGACTTCACAAGCGTCCAGGGGGCAAGGGGGAGCAAGCGCAAGCAATGCGCCGTCCGTGAATCAAGGAAGGACTCAAGCTAGGGTCTACGCGATGACGGAGGCGGATGCTCAAGCTAACCCGGATTCCGTTGCAGGTATTGCCTCTTGTATGCTAGTGTTTTATCCTTAATTAGTCCATAAATTGAGGTTACTAATCGCTAGGATCATTGCACAAGGTTTTGGGGTCAAACCGGGGGATTTCGGGCAATTTCAGGCGGCTGGAACCCAGGCACGATCGTGCCTAAGGCAGACACGATCGTGCCTCCAAGTCAGTAGCTGCCCAGGAATTTCCCCAGCCCAGGCACGATCGTGCCTAAGGCAGACACGATCGTGCCTACAAGGCAGTAGCTCCCCAGGTGTTTCTCCAAACCAGGCACGATCGTGCCTAAGGCAGACACGATCGTGCCTCCAAGGCAGTAGCCCCCAGGGCTTTTTACTGAGCCAGGCACGATCGTGCCTACCCCAGGCACGCCGTGCCTGGCACCCAGATTGCCGAAATGTGATTTTTTCGCACCGTTTTGCGACGTTAAGACCTTTTCTTGATCCCTAACATGCGTGTGAACATTGTAACCTCCTATAGATGAGTAGGGAGGGTAGGAAAAATGTCTTACATGGTTCATGAATGTAGGGACACTAAATATTAATGGGAATGATGCGCGAATCCTTATCGATACCGGGGCGCAACGTTCATTTGTGAATGAAGCGTTCGCCAAGAGATTGGGAGTGCAATCCGCACCATTGATGCAAACCTTAGTGGTATCAACACCACTAGGGGACGACGTGGAAAGAACTTGTTACTATCCATCTTGTGGGGTGGAGGTTAATGGTCAGACCTTGACGTGTGACTTCGTACCGCTGAGCATGATTGAATTCGATGCAATCCTAGGGATGGATTGGCTAGAAAGGAACCATGCTAGGGTAGATTGCTACACGAAGGTTCTTGAACTCGAAGGCAATGATGGGGAGACCCTACGCTTCGAGGGCGATCGAGGGAGATCAAATAGCTGTATCATATCCGCCGTGAGAGCAAGAAGTATGATGAGAAAGGGATGCCACGCATATCTAGCATACGTGGTTGACAAAACCAAAGAAGAAACGAACATCGACGATGTGAGGGTGGTTTGTAAGTATCCGGATGTCTTCCCAAAAGATTTACCGGGACTTCCACCCGATAGAGAGATTGAATTTGTGATCGAGGTCGAGCCCGGCACCAAACCAATCTCCATACCGCCATACCGTATGGCACCCGCTGAACTTAACGAGTTGAAAACCCAATTGCAAGAGCTTTTGGATAACGGTTTCATTAGACCAAGCCACTCCCCGTGGGGAGCACCGGTTCTTTTTGTGAAAAAGAAAGATGGGACACTTCGAATGTGCATTGACTATCGTCAACTGAACAAGGTCACAATCAAGAATAGGTATCCTCTGCCTAGGATTGATGACTTGTTTGATCAACTACGAGGGGCAACCGTGTTTTCGAAGATTGACTTGAGGTCGGGGTACCATCAATTGAAGATTAAGGAAGACGACATACCAAAGAGTGCTTTCCGCACAAGGTATGGGCATTTTGAGTTCCTTGTTATGTCGTTTGGGTTAACAAACGCCCCAGCGGCATTCATGGACTTGATGAACCGAGTATTCCATAAATACTTGGATCGATTCGTGATTTTGTTCATAGATGACATCTTGATTTACTCAAAGAGTGAGGAAGAGCATGAAGAGCACTTGATACTCGTTCTTGAGACACTACGGGAGAAGCAACTCTATGCCAAATTTTCTAAGTGTGAATTTTGGCTAAAGGAGATTGGCTTCCTCGGGCACGTGGTTTCAGGATCGGGAATTGCTGTTGATAACAAGAAGATAGAGGCCATTACCGAATGGGAGAGGCCAAAGAACGTCAGGGAAATTCGTAGTTTCCTTGGATTGGCAGGCTACTACAGAAAGTTCGTGGAGAAGTTCTCTGTTTTGGCATCACCATTGACGAAGCTCACTCGTAAAGGAGCTAAGTTTGTATGGGATGACAAATGTGAGAAAGGGTTCATGGAACTAAAGAAGAGATTGACCGAGGCACCGGTACTTGCATTACCCAAACAGGGTGTGGGGTACGATGTCTATAGCGATGCGAGCATCCAAGGGTTTGGGTGTGTGTTGATGCAGGAGGGGAGAGTAATTGCCTATGCTTCACGACAGTTGAAGAAGCATGAGGTAAATTACCCTACCCACGACCTGGAGCTGGGAGCAGTAGTGTTTGCACTGAAGATTTGGAGACATTATCTCTACGGAGAGACATGTCACATATATACTGATCATAAGAGCTTGAAGTACGTGTTTACTCAGAAAGAGTTAAACATGAGACAGAGACGGTGGATGGAGTTGATAAAGGACTACCACCTAGTTATTGAGTACCATCCAGGCAAGGCAAACGTTGTAGCAGATGCCCTGAGTCGGAAGAGTTCGTCTGGGGCATTGTTGACTAGTTTGAGGGCACTGAGGGCCCAATTGGATGTATCTAGCGACGGTGCCTTATTGGCACGATTTGAAGTGAGACCGACCTTACTTGATGAGATCAAGAAGGGTCAAGCGACTGACGCAGAACTTATGAAGGTCCGGGAACGCATGCAAGCGGGACCGGTGGAGGATTTCAGGGAAAGAGATGATGGTCTCTTGTTATTTCGTGACCGAGTGTGTGTACCGTCAGATGAGGAGCTCCGAAAGTCCATCTTAGAGGAGGCTCATTCATCGGCTTATGCCATGCACCCGGGGGGCACGAAAATGTACCGTGACTTGAAAGAAAGTTACTGGTGGTCTGGGATGAAGAGGGAAATAGCCGAATACATTAGTCGATGCCTTACTTGTCAACAAGTTAAGGCGGAACATCAGCATCCAGCAGGCTTATTGCAGCCACTTTCCATTCCTGAATGGAAGTGGGAACACGTGACTATGGATTTCGTGGTAGGTTTACCACGGACAATCAGGAACTATGATGCAGTTTGGGTCGTTGTGGATAGGCTCACAAAGAGTGCACACTTCTTGCCTATCAACACTACCTACCCACTTGAGAGGTTAGCCAAATTGTATACGGATGAGATCGTGAGGCTGCATGGGGTCCCAGTGACCATTGTATCCGATAGAGACCCACGATTCACATCACGTTTTTGGCCGAAATTTCAGGAGTCTATGGGAACGAGGTTGAAGTTCAGTACTGCTTTCCACCCACAGACGGATGGACAGTCTGAAAGAGTCATACAGATCTTGGAAGACATGCTGAGGGCTTGTGCATTGGAGTTCCAAGGAAGTTGGGACAACCACTTAGCACTTGTGGAGTTTGCCTATAACAACAGTTATCAGGCCAGCATCGGCATGCCTCCATACGAGGCATTGTATGGGAGGAGGTGTCGTACACCGTTATGCTGGGACGAGGTTGGCATGGCCAAACTCGAGGGTACTGAGTTGGTTGAGGTCACCAAATCAAAGGTGAAATTGATTCGAGAGAGACTCAAAGCGGCTCAGGATAGGCAAAAGAGTTATGCAGATAAGCGTCGAAGAACCTTAGAGTTTAAGGTTGATGACGAGGTATTCTTGAAAGTTTCTCCTTGGAAAGGAATCATTCGATTTCAAACCCGAGGGAAGCTTAACCCACGGTACATTGGTCCATTCAGAATTATAGAGAGGATTGGGGCCGTTGCATATCGTCTACAGTTGACTCCTGAGTTAGAGAAGATACATAATGTGTTTCATGTATCCATGCTTAAGAAGTATGTGCATGATCCCTCTCACGTGTTGGAGAAGCCACCTGTAGAGGTACGTGAGGATTTGAACTACGCTGTTCAACCTATCAAGGTCACCGATAGAAAGGTGAAGAAACTGAGGAGTAAAGAAGTTCCAATGGTTAAAGTCCTTTGGAAGAGTGACCGGGTCGAAGAAGAGACTTGGGAAACAGAAGCTTTGATGAGGAAGCAGTATGCATTCCTATTCGAGTAGAGCCGTGAATTTCGGGGACGAAATTCCTGTTAAGGGGGGGTGAACTTGTGACACTGCTCCCGAGCGTCCTTGAAAATTTGATTTAAAATTCAAAGTTTATGTATTGGATTTCTGGTTCCCAAACATTTGTAAAACGATTAATGTTTTACGTAATTAATGATCGATTAGTGTACTGTTCGAACTCGTATATTAGTGTCGGGCATGCAAATACCACTTGGGTCTTATTAATAAATAAAAGAGCCCAACATTTTCCAAATAGTGATACTTAATCTTGCAAGACAATCCGAGTAAGGTCGGACGGCCCAAACGTTATTTTGAGCCCAACCTGCTAAAATAGCAAGTATTCGAGAATGGCGTCCTAGACCCACTCGGGAGTGACCCACACGGCTAGTAGCCCAATAATATGTATGACAAATGTCAAATAAGTGATAGGATGATTAAAGAAGAATACAAATGCCTATAACCCCACCTTTGGTCTTATTGAGCTAAATAATGGGAGTAGGATTTTCCTTCTATAATATCTATCAAGTAAATTATTGGGATGAGCCTACACATATTGGAGATCAATAATGTGATTTGAGAAGTTGACTTGTTCTAAATAAATTAGGATGATTACAAAAAGACATCTTTTGACAAAGATAAAACAATAGGACCCATTTTCCCCATTTTTGGAAGTATTGGTAGATAATTTGGATCCCAAAATGATTGGGATCAATTGGGAACCACTCCACATGATATTAGTACCTGCAAGACAAATAAAAATGGGTTAGGAGACTTACCTTGGCCGGCCATTATGGAGAAGAGCTGCACATGACTTGATAAGAATCAAAGTTTGGGGCCACCACTCTTATTTTCGCACAAATTGGTGTGCTGTTTGTCTCCTCTCATTATAGGAGCTATCCTCAACCAAATAACGTGTATGAGGTGTCCTTGGATAGATTTTGAAGTCTATTTCTATAATTGAGTGGTCTCAGTTCGAGAGGAGAGAGTAATCACCCAAAAATCGATCTGGAACGAGCAGTGGTCTGTGAACTCGAGCTGTGAGAGTGCTGAGACTGTTTGGTTGATATCTCGAGTTTTACCAATCCAATTAAGGCGTGTGAGATACCAAAAGA